ATAGCACAGGACAGCTGCAGTATGCTCCTCCAGATCTGGATGGTAAAAGATATCCCAATCTATCTTCTCAAAACAGTCCTGAAGTTGTTGAGAGGCATCTTTGGGCCAGGATTTCATGGTCTTTATTGTAGGCAGAGCCTGTCTCCCGAGAGGGGTGTATGCTGGTGCTCAAAACAGTGACATATGGTCTGATTGCCCCAAGTGTGGTAATTGTATAACCCTGTAGCCATGTTTAATGTTGGTATATACTTTATCCAGTGTATTTGCTCCTCTAGTGGCACACTTAACATGCTGATGAAATTTAGGGAGCACTGTTTTTAAAACAGCATGATTAAAGTCCCCCGCTATAATATGCACAGCGTCAGGATGCTTATTTCAGCTACGCATTGCTAGGCCAGAGATGCTGTGAAGTCTTCTGGATGGGTCCAGCACACTTACACTGAATCCCAGCAAGATGGGATAAACAATCTGGCTCTATCCCAGCTTCTAGGATAGCTTCGGACAGGATCCCATTCCCCCTGAAGAAGGAAGCGCACAACTTGAGGGTTCTCCTGGATTCATGCCGGCTGCCCAAGCAGCAGGTAGAAGCTGAGGCCAAGGTAGCCTGTGTGCCTAACTTTGGCAGGTGGGCCCACGTTGGCCTTTTTTAGATTGATGCACCAGTTGTAACCATTACCAAGAGTAACACACATGTCATCACTATACAATTAGACTACAGGTAGTCCTCATTTAGTGACCACAATTGGGACTGGCAACTCGGTCATTAAGCTAAGCGGCTGCTAAGTGAAACCGTGACTGTGCTTACAATCTGACTTTAGCTTTCCTTTGCTTTAGAGACCTGTGAAGGTCATACATGCGAGGCTTAGTCGCAAAGTTACTTTTTCATCACCATTGTAACTGAATGGTCGCTAAATGAAGTGTACCTTCAAGACCACTTGCAACTAGAATCTGCCTGTCCTGTGCATTCATCTTGAAAGGAGATGCTCTAGGTCTCCACCTCAAATGAGGTTTTGGGGAAGAGGGCCTGGAGGAAGTCTTTCTCAAGGTCTCCAGCATCATGGAACAGCTGCGAGCTGTTTCACTGCCAAACCTTCTGGCTTTTTACAAGACCTTAAAAAATGTTCTGAAGGGCATGTTTTGTTATAAGCTGCCTAGGGGTTTTGTAATTGGGCTACATACATACAGTTTTGTTGTAATAAATCGTTAATAAAATAGCCACCTATTAAAGACCTAAGAACAGAATCTGATTGCTATTATTAATAATGAAACTCTGTCGGATCACACCATACCATCCACTATTCCTGGCATGGACCACAATTCAGAGTCTGACTCTGACTGAATCATGGCTCATGACAATTCCATGGATCAACTTTAAGGATTTTCCCATAATGCTCTCTTTTATAATCAGGATTAATTACTTTGGTGACCTTGGCTCCCATTTAGATACTGCTGTTTATCTTCATCCTGCCTATCTTCTACATAGAAAAATATGTTTTGGACTAATTTAAACATACAGAGGGTTCTTTCAGTTAAAAAGAACATTTTAGAAAAATGTTGCTTTTCTAGTTTCAGTGATTCATAAATATACTTCCACAATTGGGCTTAGCGAAGTAACAGGCTGTACTTAAACATGGTAAATAAATGCTTTTGTTCACTAATGTGCTGAAACACATCTTCAAGTGACCCTGGCTGGATACCAATTAAATATTTTGAGACTGCTGCTTTTTTTAAAACATCCATTTCCAATGAAAACAATCATATTAGGACGTATATGTTGATGTTTGTAGAATACACATCAGAATTTACAATACGGAACATTAATCAGCAGAAATAATGCTGTGTCAAGGAAGCTGATGTAAGAAGATGAAATCTGTATTATACTTACAGACCAGGATGATGCAATGTACGTTCCTATTGGTCATTGGATCTATAAATGTACACTTGTATTTGTGTACTGTCTCTCTCTCTGTCTCTCTCCCTCTCGCTATTCTACACTGAACTTTGGATTGGATACCGCTATATTGTCTCATTGGACCGCTGTGGAACTGCTGTATGCTGTTCGTCAGAGAACTTCTGTACAAAGCTGTATGTGTGTAAATAGACACTTAAAACTAATTGTTGGGTCTGAGTACTTTCTTCAACTAGGACCTGAAGACATAGCGGGCGGATTCCTGCTTTAACCAAGCAAACCTTGAACGGTTATGGGCCCAGGACGTCAAGAACGTGTCGTTTGTCCAGTGTTGTGAGGGTCCTGAGATGCGGTGAGACGAATTTTTTCCAATTGTTCACCCTTGTGCCCAGGAGGGGCTGTAAGCAGCGAAAACAGCAAGTATGCAGTCGGCCATTGGGGGAGGATTTCCTCTTCCCCATCTGAATGAAACGAATTATCTCTCTTGGTCCTTGAAAATGGAAATGTTTCTCCGGAGAGAGGATTTATGGCATATAATGAGCAAACCTCCCGCGAATTTAGGAGACGACGATGTACGACTGAATGAGAGAGCCCTGGCAAGTGTAATCTTAGGTTTGGAAGACAGCCAGTTAATTCATGCGCGGGGGGGTACTTCGGCCCAAGAATGCTGGAATATATTTCGTGAACGTTAGAGAAACAACCAGTAGCAAGATATCTCTAACCAGAAAACTATATAGAGCAAGGCTGCATGACAGTGATAAAGTGGCAGATCACATACAGTATATGATGAACATTTTCCTAGAATTGGAAGAGCGTGGGATGCATTTCACAGAGGCACATAAAGCTTATGTCCTGTTAAGCTCTTTGGACGATTCTTGGGAGGTTTTGGCAACGAGTCTTGGTTCCCTGGCAGAGAAAGATTTAACTATCAGCTATTTAACCAGAAAGTTATTGGAAGAGGAGCAGAAGCGTCATGAACGTGCCATTGCCACAGGAAGGGGAAGCGTACCTCGGCAGAGAGGGACAACGATGCAAGGAGCTGTTTCAGCAGAAGAGGAGAAAGTTCATGTTATTAAACGCTGCTACAAATGTGGAACTAATAAACATTTGCAACGAGACTGTATTGGAAAGAAGAAAGATAAGAGCAAAAGGAGACAGGCTCAGCTGAGGAGCGACGTCCAACTGTCTGTTATTAAAGTGACAGAGAATAATTCCAGGAGCAGATGGCTACTGGACAGCGGAGCCAGTGAACATATCTCTAATGACCCTAATCTCTTTACAGATTTTGGACCAGTTGCACAGGATCATGTAAGCCTAGCAAATGGAAATTGTGTTTCAGTGACCGGGCGAGGCACTGTGTTTGTGCCCTGTTTAAATGAACACTTAAGTATGCTCTGTATCCCTTACATTTGCAACAGGAAGGTGTCAAATCAGTAAAAATGGGAAAATGTGTGGGGAAGGATTATTACAAGATAATTTGTACATAATGAAACAAAAGGGAGTGAGCACAGAAGCAAATACTGCTATTAGTAATAAGCCATACCATGATCAATGTGTGCATTTATGGCACCGAAGATTGGGACCTGCAAATTTTAAAGTAGTAGAAAAAACGCCCAATGTAGTACTAGGAATTAATATGAAAACATGTCAGAATTTCCTAGATTGTTCAACCTGCAAAATGTCAAAATCGAAAGCATTTCCAGTAAGCAAACAGAGTGACAGGGTGTCAGATAGATGATTCCAATTAGTACATGCTGATTTAATTGGCCCTATGTCGAGAACGATAGGGGGTGCCAGATTTCTATTAGTGACTGTAGATGACTATTCACGTTGTGAGAAGGCAGGGA